GGCACTACTACTAGTAGCTAGAAGCTACTAGCAACTAGGGCATCGCTGCATCGCTACTAGTAACAAGGGCATTAGCCCTTAGCTACGAGTAACAAGGGCATCGCTAGTAGTATTAAGGGCATTACTACTAGTAGCTGTGATAAGTCACTGATGACTCTGGCATGACACAGTGAACATCCTTGAGCTATTTAACGATGATCGCGGACATGCCACTATACTTCACAGTTTTGCGCGTGTGCTGTAGTACTGGAGTCACAAAATACTAAACACCGGGGCATGTACAGTGAGGTCTTTCTGGTGTCCCGGAGTTTCATGTTGAGTCTAAATTGTGGGCAGCAAGCCGTGCCGTGAGAAGTCAGGCTTTGACTGCTTCATGTCGTTCTTCCCTTTTGGGGTTCTAGTGCCAGGCATTAATGATGGGTAGCGTGCCTGTCGTGCTGTCCTCACCACTGGATGTGCTATACGAACAGCTGCTTGACAGCAACCTTGTCGGAAGTACGCAAGTTGTTTGGTGGTTGACCCTCATACAAAAACGTTGCCAAAACCACCAGCTCAATCTGATGATAGTTCATCACAACCCTTCATGCCTTTTGGTTCCCTTTGTGGATGCGCAGTGCGGTGGGCCGTATGTGTTTGTTTGAGGCTACATGGCCATCGCAAAAATTGAAAGATCAGGTGTCCTGAAAAAGGTCGCAGATTGGAGCCAGCTTCTTCGGGCTGGCTTGACACTGTGAAGCGCACGCTTAACAGTATTGCTTACTGTTTTGTGTGGCCAGAGATGTCGGCGGCAGAGTGGGCCTTGTATGACAGCCGGGTGCTGACAGCCAAGTCCTTTGCCTCTAAGACTGCCCACAGCATGGCCTGTGAAAAGTCGTACGGCGATGTTCTTGCTGCTGATCCTAACGGGCCTGATGGCGGCTTCTTTGCGAAGTCCGCCAACCCTATATCTTGCCAACAATCCTGGGCCGCGTCCAAACCTGCAAAGTTCACGGGCCACAGCTCAAGAGACCCGTGAGGCCAAGGACTGGCTCAGTCTGGCGGTTGGCAAGGAGGCATTGCTCGCATCGCTGCTACCGCTGTGGAGCTGTTGCCGAGTCGGGGCCGGAAGAGGTTTGAATCAAGTGAGCAAATCGCGTGATCCATTGGGTTTGGAGAAGTGCATCGATGGCGCGCTCAACTCGTTCACGTTGGTTCGTGCACTATGTTCGGCTGCGACCTTCCGGTCAGGCTTGGTTTTGAAATGCGTCGCTTGCTGGATCCAGCACCGGAGTGGCCGCCCTCGCCAAACATGTCATTCCCGGGCCAGCGGTCGTTGCGCTTGATCCATGGGATATGGATGGCACCGCTGGGGAGGGTCGCAGCTGTCTTGGACTTCAAGCAACTCAAGGAAGCCAAACCACCTAGATCACGGATGATCACAGGCCTGCCTTCGTGTGTCCGGGCGGCATTCGTCCGACTAAGGTTTCCCGTCATTATCCTCCAAAGTTGGCAGGAGGCATCGCGGGGAGAAATAGAAGTTAACAATCAAAGATGCCAGTTTGAGCAGTGAAGATCACTGAAAACCGCGTGGGGGTTTGAAAGAATTTGCGCGCCTGCTCCAATTCTGTGGCTCGCTGCTGTGCAGCTCATGAGGCGCAACCCAATTCCACGTGGCACTGGCGACGGAAGATTCTCCGCAAATGGGGGAGGCAGCCCTTTTCAAGGTGGCCAAAACTTGTGGGTGCAGCGAGAGCATACTGAGTGCGTTTGAACGCGTTTGAGCTTGCTGTGTGGAACATAGTAATTCGGTGGTGTTTTTCATTCATTCTGAGGGTGCAAGCGAAACTACGAACTCGCTTCTGGACAGACTTGATCCGTGAACGGCATCAGGCAGCACTGAGGCTGGGAGATCATGGAACTGTTCGAAACGTGCTGAGGATAACTGAGGTTGTTGGTTTGAGTTGAAAAATGATTCTTTAGCCCAGTGGAACCACGCTGGAGGTCATAATACTGACGATTTTGGTGTTCATCCCATCCGGAAGCACACATCGGCCATCGGATGTTTTCAGCGTGCTTGAGACCAGACCTCCAGCAGGACCGGTTTGGACAGACGTGTTCTCACGTACCCCTAACGCTTCGTCGCAAAGTATAGTGTGTCAAACATTTCACCTTGGAAACATGTATGTGTCCAAACTCATTAAGAAGCTCATTGGGGTTGTTGTGATTTTGTTGATCAGTCATGATCAGTCCAAAAGACGTTGACAATTTGGTTGCGAACTTCAACTTGTTGATGTATATAGCCTTATTGAGGGTTTCCTTGGAGAGAAGGTTTCCCTGGTCCTTGATGTTCTCTTAAGGCAAGCCAGGATTCGGTGCGGGTTTCCTTTTTTGGAAGACCCTTTGTTTGGAGTGTTTTGTGAAGACCCAAACCAAGAACCACGTTTTGGGGAAGCCTTTCTAGGTCCAAAGTTTGATTGACCTGTGACCTGGTTAAGGTTCGGGCCCTTGCCATCCTTTGCTCCCCTTAGTTGAAGTTGAAGCCGTGCTGTGCTCTGAGTGTTTGAGCTGTGCTGGCAGTTGCCGGTACTTGTTCACGGTTCTTGCTTATTTTGCCCACCACCTCCCTAATTGTGGGAGGTGTTTGTCCTTGGTCTAGAAACCGACAGTTGATGGTCAAGTTTTCTTTTGGACTTGTGGCGCAGGCGCTCGACAAGATAACATCTTCAATAATTAATGTTCAATCTTGGTCAAGGACGTGATTTTTGTCGCAAGTAGTTACTTCACCCCTCCTCATGTCTTGCAAATTTCATGCAAATTCCATAGATGCGGAGCGTTTCAGCAACCAAAGCACTTGCATGCCGCGCGGCACTTGTAGAAATCTCAGCACTTGCACTTGTAAGGGTCTAGCGCTTGCAAGCGATTTGATCAAGTTTCAGCATTTGCGAGAGACTTGACCAAGTTTTAGCGTTTGCAAGAGATTTGTCCAAGAGCACTTGCAAGAGACTTGACCAAGCTGTAGCACTCGCCGAGCAGCTGGATGAGTGGCGGTGCATACGAAGCTGGGCATGTGACATGGTTGTATGTATAGTGTGTGGCGCGCCGTGTGGCCAAAGTCCGTCTGTGATGTCGCTGTGCCATGCGGTGTTGCATGGCGTTGGCAAAAAGTGTGATTGCGTGAGTCTGTGCCACCGGGCACGCTGGCATAAATGCGGCGTGTAGCTGGGGAGCCGGGTGAGTGGCGGCGTATACGAGGCTGGGTATGACATGGTTGTATGTAGTGTGTGGCGCATCACACGTAGAGTAATTGGTGGCGCTGGCGGAACCCTCTCGCAGGATCCGGCGTGTTCAACGCCGAAACGTGAGGTGAGATTCGCAAAGGAAATGAGCAAAGGAAACAGCTCCGTGCGCTCAGAAAAATGAGCAATACTCTTGCGCACGCTTTGCAAGCGGCTTTAAACTTTCGGGCCATCAGGGGGTCTAGTTTGGGGTTCGGGGGCCTGCGGGGGCCCGATGCGTTTGAACATGGCTAGGAAGTTTTGCCATCAGACAAATTGAAGGCGCAGACAGTATATAATACACTGATATAAAAATATACTTATAATTATAATAGATACTTGTAGAATCTTTTTCTATAGACCAGAACATATTGAATATTCGGTTGCGCACATATTTATTAATAAAATATATTTCGATTGTAGTAATAACACTAGCAATAGTCAATATATAAGTTAATAGCAACGCAACGTTCAAAAAAACCGACCCCAATTCGAAAGTCGGAGCGCTGCGAAGGGCTCTTCTGTAGAAGCCTTTCGCGCAACACATTTGCATCAATAGCTTTCTGCCTTGTTCATAGCTGCGTTGGTATGTATGCTATCAGTATGCTATACGCTACATCTGCAGCTTGCGCGCGCGGTCTTCTAGACCTGCTGCTAGGAAGCGTGTAATTAAATTGAAAATACTTTTGCAACAAAAACAGTTATGTATGCTACGTTTGCTAGAAGTACAGCTTGCAGGTATGGTTGTGTAGAGCTGCTGCTACGCTAGCATTGCTTTGGTGCTTGGATCTTTCTTTGGCGAGTTGGTTTGGTGGTGGGATCTTGGTTGGATAGCTTTCGGTGGGATGTTCCTATTTTAGTAAAGTCATATGAAAAGTCGAGTATAGCTTTCTCTGCTCAAACGTGTGGTGAAATGCTGCCCTGCGGAGATCGCGCACGTCGTCAAGTGCTCAGGTGCGTGGTGAAACGCGAATTCAGGCTGCGCTGGATCTGGAGGCAACTCTCTGCGGACATCGTGCGCGTCGAGTGCTCCAACGCGTGGTGAAACGCCAATGTTGCGTTACCACAGAGAATCCTCTGCGGAGATCGCGCGTGTCGCTTAATGGTAATTGTTGCGCCTAATCTGTTGCACACTGTGTGGCCAAATTCTGTCTGCGATGTCGCTGTGCCATGCGGCACTGCGCGGCTGCAGTGGAAAGTGCGTTCGCGTGAGTCCGTGTTAATGGGGGAAGGAAAACACGCTGGTGTAAATTTGGCGTGCCGCTGAGGAGGGGGTGATTGGCGGTGGCCACGAGTCTCATCTTACCACTCTAGAGGCGTGCGTTTGCACGTATACTTGTAGCCTCTTGTAGCTTGCTGTATGCAAATGCAGCTATAAAACTCTCAGATGTATTCATCACCATCTCTCAGTTCTAAGTAACCTTTCCTTCCACACTGCCGGGCCATTTGAGAGAACCCACTGAAACCATGGTGCCCAATGCACTTTTGGAGTAGCATGTTTGGACTTGGAGGTCCAAATTCAATTCCCGGACCGGAGGACTCGAAAAACTGGGGCGCGATGATCACGCCGATGCATATATGGCAATACACTTTGCCTTCTCGCCAAAGTCCGTCGGTCAGTGAAAAGGCAAAATAGAGTGTGACATGATGTGACATGACCACTTGAGCACCCAATGAGACCTTGAGCATCATTTGAAATTCGTTGCGCATCAGTCAGTCATGCTGAGCCGTTCTTGCCCTGCAGCAACTTGACCTGATGCCAGATGTGACCAAAGAGTCAGCTGACGGTGTCGAAGTTTTTTCCCAAACAGCCAATGCATGGCTCCATGCCCATGTGTCTTTGCTGGCTGCAACTGGAAAGATCACAGTTTGTTATTCCATCCAGGCCCGTGCTTCTATGTCATGGACGTGACAGGACGAATTGTTTGAGTTGTACCCGCATGATTGGCTTTGCTTGGCTATGGAATGTGCATGAATGTGCCATGTTGGGCAGGGCAAGAAGTGCCGGAAGCATCTCAGCCCCTTCACTAAGCAAATTCGGGTGGAGGACGAAGCTGAAGAAACGGAAGAGGAGGCAGATCCTGATCTGTCCTTTCACCAGGCTGGGAAGGGGTTTTGCTCAAAACGCCAAGAATCGCTATTGGATCCCTTTTTGGTTCCGTTGCTAAACAAAGAACCAATGCTTGGATATGTTTGGCAGTTGGGGCTGACACTCAAAGTGACGTTGTGAGCACGTCAACATCAAAGAGCATATCCCTCCAGTAATTAGGTCCTTAGGGCCCTTTTCATTCCATTTTGACCTGACGTCGCTAGCAAGAACAGCTCAGAACAGTTCAGAGCATGACTCGGACAGTTTGTTTGGCATTCATTTTGCCAAACCGTTTGTTCCGAACCGGCTCGGACAGGTCTTCCGGGCCGCCCGGAGGTTCGTCCTGGGTGACTTCGACGGGAGTGAGTTCTCTTTAGAGAAAACCCTGGAGAAAGCAGCGCAGATGGAACGGCAACAACGTCACCACGAGACTGGGCTCCACCACCGAGTTTTCAAGCACCCGATCGAGCTTGTACTAATAGGGATGGCCTCCAACCTAACATCAACCTAACATCCAATAACTAGGACTTGATAGTATACAACAAGTTCTTGTAATGGATAACATGGAGACTCAATGGAGACTCGGACAATAACCTCACATTGTTCGATATTGAGTCTTGTGGGTTGTGTCTTCAGAAACTTGGACATTTGTGCTGATGGAACTCAGGAACTTTACGTTCATGCAGCATCAGCTAGCCAGGCAACCATGATTGCAAGACAAGCTAGCAACAACTTCCGCGAATTTGGCATCTTGTTTGTGGACCAGGACGGAGCGCTGGCTTCAAATACATCGTGATTCCGGTGCTCCACCACATGTTTCATGTTCGCTCTTGTTCCTTTATGTGTTTTCCTTTGTATTTGCACGGTGTGCCTCTTGTTTCAGATTCCAGGAGAATCCAGAGTTCAATGAAAGCTTTCAGCGGAGTGCGTGCAAGAGGCTTTCTTCTGAAGCAGTGCTCTTCAAGAAGCGACCACAAGCGAGTCACTTGGCAAAAACGCGTGGATGTCCATCCATATTCTGCGTGGGAGTTTGATCGTGGGAGTTTGATTCGTCAATGGCGATTCTTTCCTCTTGAACGAGCTTTGTTTGCTAGAGGTGATGTGGCGCAAGGTGGAGAAGCACACAACTGTGGCTTTATGGCTGCGCTGGCAGCGATTGCAGACCACCAAGACGGGTATTTGGTCCGCCTTCTGTTGGAGGAAGAGGATGACTTGAAGCTCGTCAGGAATTTGTTTTGTTTTGTTTTATTGTTCGGTCCGACTGTTTGATGGCCAGGAACCAATGTGGTTGCTATCGGGTGTCTTTGTTCTTGAATACAAGCAGCAGAAATCTGCAGAAGTATCGGCAAGCTCATCCCAGCTTGATTGCCTCAGAGAAGGAAGTCTTCTTTTCAAACACCAGGCCATGGTGGCCATGTCTCCATTCTTGTCCTGATTTGGGTGGATGTAGACAGAGGTCAGCTTTAAAAGTCACTCAGTGTCACATCGGTCGGTGATCTGAGCTCGCCGCCAGGAACTCGATCAAGGCGGAGGCCAGAGGTTCCTGGCGTACAATCGTCGTGGATGACATTGTCCCAGACTCTGATGGGCCACGGGCATGCCGACCGAAGGGTGCTGTGTGGCCCAGTATTATTGAGAAAGCCTTCGCAAAAGCATGCGGCAGCTACGAAAGAACCAATTTGTGGCTCGTACAAGTTGGAAGCGCCAGTTTGCAGGATTTGGCAAAGTCGTTTTTTCTTTTCTGTATTCAGTTCACATGTATTCAGTTGGCTGGTGCAGGTTGACCTTACCGACGCACTGGTGATTTTGACGGGTCAGAGCACCTTCCGTATTGAACTGGCCCGTCTCAATTCTGCTGCCCGCAAAAAGCCTCTTGGAAACAGAATTGGGTTGCGGGCCATTGCGATTAGGTTCACAAGAAGCCTCTTGCAAACGGAATGTGGACACACATGAAGGGTCCACATATGTTCCTGTTGCAGTGGAAGTTTTTTCCTTTCTTCGCATCTCTTCGCTGGAGATCCGAGGCTTTTCAAGGACCTTTGTGAGTACAAACAACGCGGACTTTTGGTCACAGCAGGCATCCTGCAGAATGAGGCACCTTGTTTTGTACCATGCGCCGCCAGCTTTCAAGGCCTTTGTGGTTTGAACCTGAGGCACAGGTCCTACCAAATGGCTTGGTGACCAGACATGCTTACACGTTGCTGGATTTCATCCCGCTCTTGGACCACACAAAGAGGCACAGATGATCGACATGGCACGGACGGTCGTGCGCACGGTCCGTGCGCACGGTGTCTCACTTGGTGTGTCGAAAACAGAAAACTGGACTCAACATCCATCGGATGTCGGACACGACCGTCACAGAACATGTTCATTCAAACGTGATGCTTACAGTGTGAGATTGGAGACAATTAGGGACAGGCCTACTAGTTTAGTCCATGGCTAATGTAGGCAAATGTGATCTAATGTCCAACAAACGCTGCAATTGAGAGTGACTGCAATAGGCATGCAAAACACCAGTCCATGTAACGGTTTGAGGCAGGAGAGAAACTTGAATATATACAACCTGACGCGAACACCACCGAACACCACCTGACAATCCACAGTGTTTGTGGGAAGCGCAAGGCGACTGTGGCAGTTGGAGGGGAGAGAGATTGGTCCTTCCTCGAGAGCAGAGCTTGTCAGGTTGTTCACCTTGGTGAAGTTGCGAAACCCATGGGGCCAAATCGCTTGGTGTGGGGACTTTGGACCACAGGCGAGAACGAGACGTGAACGAGACGCGGAGAAGGGGTAGCGATGGCCTCTAACCAAATAGCAATGGCCTCCAACCTCCGACGTCCTAGCAATGGCCTCCAACCTAATAGCAATGGACTCCAACCTAATAGCGATGGCCTCTAACCAAATAGCGATGGCCTCCAACCTCCGACGTCCTAGCAATGGCCTCCAACCTAATAGCAATGGACTCCAACCTAATAGCAATGGACTCCAACCTAATAGCGATGGCCTCTAACCAAATAGCGATGGCCTCCAACCTCCGACGTCCTAGCAATGGCCTCCAACCTAATACCGACGGCCTCCAGCCAAATACCGATGGCCTCTAACCAAATAGCGATGGCCTCCAACCTCCCATGTCCTAGCAATGGCCTCCAACCTAATAGCGATAGCCTCCAACCTGTTACCGATGGCCTCTAACCTAATAGCGATGGCCTCTAACCCAGAAGCGATGGCCTCCAACCTAACTACTAGCGATGGCCTCCAACCTGTTTCTAGTAGCAATGGACTCAAACCTAATAGCGATGGGCTCCAATCTGATGGCCTCCAACCGAATACCGACGGCCTCCAGCCAAATACCGATGGCCTCTAATCAAATAGCGATGGCCTCCAACCTAATACCGATGGCCTCTAACCTAATAGCGATGGCCTCCAATCTAAAAGCGATAGCCTCCAACCTAATATGATGGCCTTTAAATAGCCATGGTCTCCAACCTAGAAGTGATGGCCTCCAACGTACTAGCAATGGCCTCCAACCTACTAGCGATGGCCTCCAACCTACACGTGATGGCCTCCAACATAATAATGGCCACTAACCTAATAGCGATGGCCTCCAACCTACTATAGCGATGGCCTCTAACCTAATAGTGATAGCCTGGCCTCCAACGTATTAGCAATGGCCTCCTACCTGCTAGCAATGGCCTCCAACCTAATAGCGATGGCCTCCAACGTAATAGCGATGACCTTCAACTTACAAGTGATGGCCACCAACCTAATAGCAAGGGCCACCAACCTAATAGCGATGGCCTCCAACCTACTAGCGATGGCCTCCAACCTAATAGCGATGGCCTGGCCTCCAACGTACTAGCAATGGCCTCCTACCTACTAGCAATGGCCTCCAACCTACTAGTGATGGCCTCTAACCTAATAGCAATGGCCTCCAACCTAATATGATGGCCTTTAAATAGCGATGGCCTCCAACCAAATAGCGATGGCCTCCAACCTAATAGTGATGGCCTGGCCTCCAACGTACTAGCAATGGCCTCCTACCTGCTAGCAATGGCCTCCAACCTAATAGCGATGACCTTCAACTTACAAGTGATGGCCTCCAACCTAATAGCAATGGCCACCAACCTAATAGCGATGGCCTCCAACCTACTAGCGATGGCCTCCAACCTAATAGCGATGGCCTGGCCTCCCACGTACTAGCAATGGCCTCCTACCTGCTAGCAATGGCCTCCAACCTACTAGTGATGGCTTTTCCTTGCATAAAGGCCCCTCCCTGGCTCAGGTGGCGGGAGAGGGGCTGAGTGTCGGAGTCTGAAGACGGCTACAGTGAAAAGATGACAAAAGGAGAGGAATACAAGGAGGAACGTGAGGACAATCAGGCTGAAGTAGTCCGGGAAGCACGCAACAAGCGAGCCTTCCGAGTACCTTCTTTGAGTATCTTCTGTAACTTATGCCAAGGATCAACAGGTGGTTTCCACTGGAAAGAGCAAGTCTCAGTTTGTGTTGGCAAGTCAAGAGGAGGCCACCAATTGTAAGCACAAGTACGAAAATGCTTCTGGAATGCCGTTTGAACAACTTCAGCAACCAGAGTCTGCTTCGGAAAAACTGGTCGGGGTTTCAGGCCAAAGACACAGCTTCCAGCACCCTGTCTGTAAAGAGCACAGATACGGGCGCGTTTGGCATGAGATGGTATGACATCGTGCCCGCACAGAGAGGCAAACTGACCAAACATAGCAGCAAATTGGGTGGCAATTTCATTCCAGGAATAATTGAAGGCATGTGCCTCCGTATCAGACCTGGCCCATGCAAAACAATGACCCGCAGGCGGGGTCCTCCTGTGTACAGGAAGGAAGCACCTGCTATACATCATGAAGCTTAGAACCAATTCCATCCAAGAGACCCCCATGTCAGCGACCTCCGTGTGCTGCTCAGCACCGGGCCACTGGAGCTGGCTAGCCCAATCAAGCAAACAAAGCATCATCGAAGTACCCCAGTAGGAGTGAGTGAAGAAGTTCTGTTCACGGATAGCAGTGGCATCGAGGATCCAAGGTGCATCCACCTTCCAGCTTGAACACAGGGCAGAAAAATGCGCCGCCTGCCTCATGGGATGTGGTTCCACAGGATGCAACGAAGCTGGGACATGTTGATCATGTAGCTTGCGATAGCTCTGTAGGGCCAAAGACAGCCTGTAGAATTGCTCCAGTGTGTCCATCTCTTGCTTACGACTCTGGGCTTGGTCCCTCCATGCATCAGTGAGGGGGGGATGGCAGGAGGTACAAACCGCAGACGCAGCTTTGTCCGCAATCATATTGCCAAGGGCATGATAACATTGCAAGTCAGGCAGCTCACCAGGCTTAGTATGGGCTTTAATCTTAACCAGCCTATTAGTGTGAGCATGGACAAGATGCTGTATGCGAAGGCATAGTTCCGGGAAAGGATGTCGGTGCAAATGAACCCCATGCACAGAGGAGGCTGCCTCAAATGTGGCCATCGCACTAGAAGAGTCCACATGGATGACAGCATGGCGGAAGAGTTCACTAGCACGAACAATGGCTCGGAGTTCTGCATGATGAATGGTCTGGGCCTGTGGACACAGCTCTTGAATGATTACGTGCAATGTTGGCGGGACAAGACCAGTCTCTTTGAATCGTTGTGCATGCCAGCAGCGTTCCGCATCACTACGACAAGAGTCAACCACAATGCCAAAACCTGCATACCGCAGTGAGGGCAAAGTGGGGAATAAGCAACTGCCGTCTGTGTACACATGCAACGGTGAGAGTTCGGAAACACACTCCAACAGATCAGCTATCCGAGCGGAATCTGGCAAACGTGGCTGAATGGCATATTGGAATGTGAATCGAAATTCATCCTCTATTGATTCAAAAATGACCGGCAACTCCGGCAGCAAGGTGTCTTCGGATGTGAGTGCCTGGATCAAATTCTGGAAAGGTTCACGAATATGCTGTGTGGCAGCGCATGCAAAAAACCTATGAAATTTGGTATCTTCCTGGTGCATCATCCCAAATGGCCTGTTGGCTCCGAGTCTGGTAGGCTCCAGCGATTTCACGAACCAAAATGCGGCGCTCCATTGGTGTGAAACGTGATAGGACCTGCCGAGTAAGGTGTTGATCAACATTTGGAAAGTTGATCAAGGACCGACGATGAGAATGCAACACCAAGAGTCTGTCTTGCCATGACCGTTCCGCGAACCAAACCAAGCTCTTCCAAGGGCACAGCAAAAAACTGAGCTTGACAAAGGCAGAAACCTGGATCAATCCCAGTGCATCAATGCACCAGCCTAACCGGACCAAATAGGTCTTAAGCGTAGAGGCAGGCCCCTTGGAAGTATTAGGCTTTGGCTGATACTGCGAAGCAAGCCTAAAGAATCGACCTTGTTGTGAGCTGTCTCGAGCCAACAAAAATCTCCTTGCCGCAGCACAGGCAGACAGAATCATGTGAAGCTCAGGATCTTTAACGTACTTAGAAGCACTCAAGGTCACTAGAGCAGAGGCCATGCTTTCAGAAGGACCGACAAGAGCTTCCGCCACATGATAACGCAGGGACCGATTATGCTGTTGACCGACTGGAAAAAGCTCACTCCCATGAAAGGCAACCGGATAAACACTGGCAGAGATGACCTGAGCCTTAACATCAATGTCCACATGCGAAGACTTAAGACGGGTTAATCTCTCCTTGGCCTTGATCAACCTATCATGAAGTTTACACATGCGAGCTGCTCCTTGGTATCGGAGTGGACAACCAAGATCACTAGCTGCAAGCACTTTAGCAACGGCAGGCAGTTGGAGATTATCAAAGGCTTTACGAACCGTACCAGCAAGGTGGGAATGAGACGTCCACCACCAGGTCTTAGTCCAGTCTATCTGAAGGCCGATTATTTTAGTCCACCGAATGGTAACATCCAGGAGTGGTTCGATGTCAAGAACTTCTTTAACTGCCCAAGCCCAGTTATCAGCATATGCGGAGATTAACGAATTGGGCGAAGTACAAGTTCGGCAAGCTGCTGTCCAGCATTGAGCGACCCCCAACATGACTAAGACCGAAAAGACATCCCCCTCTGGAAAACCGCAGCTGCTGTGAATGATGTCCGAACACTGGCCAAGGACCTCCCAGCGTCTTGAGAGCCGAGCCAGAGAGCCCGACCACTGGGCCAAAACCTGCTCAGGTACACCCAGGTGTCGAAGGATGGCAGTACCACGAGTCCTATTAATTGCGTTAAAGCATTTGACAA